AAACGACGCCGCATCAAGCGTCTGATCTGAGCCGTTCAACCACACCCATCCAACGGTCCACATCCGCACCCGTAACCCGACCTGTTTAGCCGGTCCAACCCAACCCCTCACTTAAATCCAAACGACCCCGTTTTAATGCCAAACGACCTCGTCTCACCCCTCACCATCAGATCCGAGCCGTTGAGATCATCTGATCTAACGGCTCAGATCCAATCCTCTACTCCGTATATAAACCTTCCCTCACACCCCACGCCCCCTATCCGAACCCCACATTTCCTCATCTTCTTCACCAAACACTGAAACCCCCCAAACCCTAGCAGCCGCCCTAGTTTCCCTTTCACCAGAACCCGGAGGCATGAACGCCGGTGACCACCTCCTGAACACCCTAGGACCACCTCACTGTCCTGAACACGGATCCGTTACCCCCTAGCCTCGAATCACCTTCCTTCGTCTCGAATCTTCATTTGAAGGTTCGAGTCGAACTCTGACCTACACCAAACCTCACCATCTTCACCCTAGACAATCCCCGAACCTCCCTCGTGACCAAACCATGTTTGGTTTGGTCCGAATCTGACCAGGGAAACACGAATCCCAGATCTGCTGTTTCGAACCCTAGGGTTCTTAGTGCCTGTTCCGTGCCTGTTCTGTGCCTGTTCCATGCCTGTTCCGTGTCTATTTAAACCAAGGGTTTATGGTCTAATGGACCTTAATCGAAGTGTTTCTCAAAAACACTTCGATTAAGGGTTCCTCGTGCCTGTTCCATGCCTGTTTCATGCCTGTTTAAACCAAGAGTTTATGGTCTAATGGACCTTAATCGAAGGGTTTCTCATTTGAGAAACACTTCGATTAAAGTCCGTTAAACTTTAAGAAGGGTCTGTTCAAACACAAGTTGATTTTCCTGATCTTTTCTTTCAAAGATATTAAGGTAAGTTTGTCTTCTCTTCTTCATTCCAGTTCGTGTGTGTGTTAAAGGTCTATTCGTATGGCCAAACATCTTGTTCAAATTGTGTTTTGGATTTTACCAACTGTTTTCTCACACCTTGCCTGGACCTCTGTTATTTGATCAAATGTTTCCTCATTCACTGATAATGCGTGTGTATGTGAACTGCATAACTTACTGAATTGAAACTGTTTGAGTAATCAATCCCCAAGTTAACCTCTGTATCGACATGTGCAATCTGACCCCTTGCTGATACTGTTTGATTCTAATCCTTGGCTTTGATTGTGTATGTTGTAATTAGTATAGTCGATTCGATACATGTCGTTAAATAGTTTTAGCTGTTTGAATGGTAACAGCTTGATTTGTCTCGTTGAACATTGCTTGAATCAAAATTGAAGATCGACTGTAGCTACTTACAATTGATGTATTTGAATCAGAAATATAAAGGGATTGATTTTGTTTAGTTGCAGTTAGAATTGGAGGGCATGTGCGCTTGTGCACAACATGTGCATAAAGCCCTTTTGGATTAAAATAGTCTGACAGCACATGCTGTCAGATTATATTCTTGTTGCCCATGGCCTGTTTTAGTTTAATAAATGTTAAAAGCGGGTTGTCAGGGATCTCATGGGAGTTTTGTTATTTAAAATAACTGAGTGGAAAAACAGCAGGGAAGGGGGAATTTTGAGTTGTCCAGCAAGCTGTAAAGTGCTGGGAATTAGGCTATAAGAAGGGGGACCTTCCGTTAGAGGAGGATGAGAGATTTTTGGGGGATTTTTTTTTGGGGATTCTTTTTTGGAGCCTAAAAGAGAAGGTTTTCTTTAAAAAAAAACTGAAAGAAAGAAACATAAATTCTGAGAATATTGTAACCAAACGTGGTCTGAAAACTATAGAAGAGTTCACATTGGTCAAGTTGTTTTGGCCAAGTTCTGTTGTTTACCCTGATTGAGCTGCTTGTGATTGTTGAACTGCTGGTGTTGCTGCATTGAATACTCTGTTATTTCTGTGGGTTCATTACTCTGGTTCTGGGATTGTTTGTTTGTTGCTCGACTGCTCGTGAGCTTCATCATTGTTGGCTGGTTGTTGTTGCTGTGTATCTGCTGTTGCTGTTGTTTGCTGTGTACTACTCAGCTGATCATTTTCCTTCTTCTTTTTGTTCCTCTATACCAGGTACACAACTAATACTGTCTCATTGTACAACTCGAGCCAACGCTCCTCAATGTTCAAATGTCACAATTACTCCCAAAATTTTGCCCAGAAATAGAAATCATCATCAAAGCATGAATAATATAACGAGGCCATAATAGTCACGATATAAGACTCACGGGCATGCTTGACACCAACGTATAGATACTCGTCACCATGCCTATACGTCGTACTCGACAAATACCACATAGCAAATAGGACTCGACTCCTAATCCCTCAAGCTAAGGTTAGACCAAACACTTACCTCGATGCCACGAACATAATTCACGTCTCAATTATTGTTTTACCCCTTGATTCCACCACCAATTCGCTCGTATCTAGCCACAAATTACTTAATTACATCAATAAACTCTAAATGAATAAATTCCAATGCATGAAAATAAGTTTCCCAAAGTTTTACCCAAAGGTCAAAAATCGCCCCCGAGCCCACATGATCAAAACCCGAGGTTTGAACCAAAACTCGATTAACCATTCCCCCACGAACCCAAATATATAATTTCTTTGGAAATCGGACCTCAAATCGAAGTCCAAATCCCCAATTTTTGAAAAACCTATGTTCTGCCCAAAACACCCAATTTTCCCCATGAAATTCATTATTTTTGAGTTGAAATCATGTTAAAGGATGTTAATGATTGAAGAAAACGAGTTAAAATTGACTTACAATAGATTTGGAAGAAGAGTTGTTCTTGAAAAATCGCTCTAGGGAGTTTGTGTTTTGAAAAGATATGAAAAATGGTTGATTTTCGGCTAAGTATAAAAGTTACAGGTCGCATGTATGGGAAATACGAACCCCAACCTTTGCAAAGTTGGGAATTGCAAATAGTCTCTCGCAAATGCGAGTTGGGAATTGCGAAGGTAGGGTCGCATTTGCGACTACTGGCTAGGAAGGGAGGCATCACATTTGCGATGGAATTCTCGCAATTGCTAGGATGGGCTGGCCTGGGCTTCTTTCGCATTTGCGACATGCCTCTCGCAATTGCGATCTCGCATTTGAGAGCCAGGCTTCGCAAATGCAACAACTAATAATCTACAATTCCTCAAGTCCAAAATTCACCCCGTGGCCTATCCAAAACTCATCCGAGCCCTTGGGGCTCCAAACCAAACATGCACACCACCCTAAAAACATCATACGGACTCCCGCATGCATTCAAATCACTAAAATAACATCAACAACTATGAATTTAGCATCAAAATCATGAAATTTTCTTAAGAACTTCAAATTTCCAATTTTCTCAAAAATGATCCGATTCACGTCGTTCCAAGTCCGTTTCTTACCAAATTTCACAGACTTATCTTAAATCACATATAAGACCTGTATCGGGTGCCAGAACCAAAATACGTGCCCGATACCATCAAGTTTTAAACACCTTTCATTTCCAAATCTCATAAATAATTTCAGAAAATAATTTTCTTTAAAAATTCATTTCTCAAGCTTGGGACCTCGGAATTCGATTCCGGGCATACACCCAAGTCCTATATTTTCCTATGGACCCTCCGGGACCGTCTAATCATGGGTCCGGGTCCGTTTACCTAAAATGTTGACCGAAGTCAACTCAAACTCATTTTAAATGCAAAATTCATCATTTTTCACATATTTTCACAAAATGGCTTTCCGGCTACGCGCCTGGAGTGTGCATGCAAATCGAGGTGATGCCGAAAAAGGTTTTTAAGGCTTCGGAACGCAGAATTTACAAATTCTTTCAGTTTATAAGGATGTATATACATTGTCAGTGTATAAGAGGCATCTATGGAAGTTTGGCACTTCTTCTCTTCTTCTTTTTCGTGTATGTGATGTATAAAAAAGATCTTGTACGCGTTGGAGGGATTCTACAATTCATTTACTAAGTTTTAATTTTTCTTTTATCCTGTTGGATTGCTTCAGCAATTGCACATAAAAGTGTTTGAATTTTTTGCCTTCACATAATATGTATTATTCAGGATTTTTGAGTTGCATTGTGGGTGATTTGTATTTTTTTATCAAATGCTTAATAATGAAAGAAAATCAAGAGAATGAAAACAACTAGTTGTATAAAGAGGGAACAATAACCGTAGTTGATTGAGTGAAATAAGCTATTTTTCACGAATTAGCCTATTATTTTTGGGCTATAGATTTGCAAAGTGGTATCTAGGCTATTATATTGCAATGCAGGTGTGTGAGTTGTAGTTATGTGAAATTATCCCAAAATATTTTTCGTCATATCATCTTTTAGACAGTGACCTGCTTAACTTCCTTAGAAGTAATGCTAGAAGCCTAGCGCTTGATAGGGTTGGCGAATCGGCAAGTCGGGTCGAATATTGGCGGGTCGAAAACAAGTAATGCAAAAACGGATAAATTATCCAATCCGACCCATATTTAATACGGACAAAAAATGAGTTTAAATGGATATCTATATTATCCATAGCTTCTTGAATATGGTCACTTTTGGGGGAATATGACTAGTCTCCCAAATTTGAGGAACCCCACTTTGAGGCTTTACAAATATAAATGTTAAACCCATTGGTTATCCATTTTCTAAGTGGATAATATGGTTCCCATCTGTATTTGACATGTTTTTAAAAAGTTCATTATTCAACATATTTTTTAATGGATAATATGGGTGTATAATTGTTTTCTTTAAATCATTTACCACCACTACTTAAAAGACATACAGGTCAAGCCAGTCCAAACGTCACTATCCAGGCAACAAAATATTAATAATTCCCAGCGTGACAATTTTCACATTCTAACACATTGCAATGTTAAACGCAAAGACACTATACGTAAACAGAAGCAAAATATAGACGAAAATATTCAGTCCAAGAAACCTAGCATTCATGAGCACCTATGGAAAAAATAGATAGAATCCGAAAGGGATGATCAGGATAATGAGCGTTGCACTCTATAACAATAGTTCTCCAGTTTCAAAAGTCAATATATCTGATCAATCCTACTACTCCAATAAGAAGGGTAAAAGAAGTGCAGCAGAAGAAAAAACAAGTGTTACATCCTTTGTCTCAAAACTGGAACCTGTATTTACATTGTACAGCAAGTCTTCTATAAACATTTGAACAAATTGCTTAATTACAAGTATAAATACCCGCAAAGGTGGTGTCCTGAATCAATGTGAAGTACCTCAAGTAGGCAACAAGCAGGAATTGAGCCAGCCATGACATGAAATGAAATGAAATTATGTGTCTGTTTGATCTTGAAATTGGACGGAATCGAAGAGATTAGTAGTAGATGCAGAAGAAGAACCCATGTCAGTCTGTATGGTCATGGTGTTTTGAGTTTGGCTTCCAGTTAACTTCTGTTTTTGCCTCTCTTGATGAAAATCTTTCATCGCTTTAAATCTCAGATCATTAGAATAAGTATTTGCCTCTGGAATTTCATCGGGAATGGCTAATCGTCCTTCAAACATACTCACTACCTCGGACATGATAGGCCTGAGTGAGGGAGTGGCGCTAGTGCACAAGAGTGCCACTTTTACTATTCTCTCCACTTCTTGTTTGTTAATATCAGAATCCAATCTCTGATCTATGAGCTCCTCTATACTCCCACTTTGTTGCAAGTGACAGGCCTGTAATAGAGTAGTTTTTTAGGCACAGCTAATAACTTCAATAAAGGAGGTTAAAGATGAAGAAGAAAGAAAGTAAGAACTTCATTTCACCATGCAAACTTTTAAGCTGACCCTTGTTAATGGAGAAATAGCAAGCAAACGGGGATCAGATGTTATTACCCAGTCTAAGAGACAAATGCTATGGTTGCTCGGCATGTAGTTATTGTTGTTCTTTCCACTGACAGTTTCCAAAAGTACAACTCCGAAACTGTAAACATCTGCTTTATCGGTCAAATAACCCCAGAGCGCATATTCTGGTGCCATGTATCCTCTGCAAGTGTTAAGATTAGAAGGTATGTCAACTCAAAATACACTTTAGGCTAGCAAGAAATGAAGTGATCTTACATTGTTCCAGCAACTCGAGTACTAATATGGGTTTTCTCTTCTTCATTAAGTCTAGCTAGTCCAAAGTCAGATATTTTGGGATTTAGCTGCCCATCCAGCAGCACATTGGTAGCTTTGATGTCTCGATGTACAATTTTTAGGCTTGATTCCTCGTGTAGAAAAGCGAGACCTTTTGCTATTCCGAGACAGATCCTAAACCTTGTAGGCCAATCCAGTGTCAATCGGCTGTCCTCTGAACCAGAAAATTCACCACTGAAAATCTTGACCTGAGATAACTGGAATGCTACATAAAGAGAACGACATGGAAAACTTACCAAACAAAGCGCCAGCAAGGCTATTGTTATCCAAGTATTCATATACAAGCAGTAACTGGTCTGCTTCAATACAGCACCCATGAAGCTTAACAAGATTCGGGTGTTGTAAACAGGAGATCGTACTAATCTCATTCAAGAATTCACGGTTGCCTTGCTTTGATTGAGAGGAGAGCTGCTTCACTGCTACTAATGTACCATCAGGTAATTGACCCTACACCAGATCCGTTCATTAGGTTCCACAGGTTAAGAAGATAGAACCAGTGTAAACTAGCTAAAGGCAGATGAATTTTGAGACACATGTATGCCCTTGCTCAGACCCAGAAGCATTGGGTTAATGAAATTTTGAAGGTTTACATGTTTCTGGAAACAGCACCAAGTCTTTTAGGCAGAGGTGCATCATGAACTGTAGTCCAGGTAAAAGAATAATAACTAGTCTTCCAATTATAATCATACCTTATAGACTGGACCAAAACCACCTTCTCCTATCTTGTTTGAAGCATCAAAGTTTTTAGTGGCGGCTTTTATTTGTTTTAGAGTAAAGCAAACCATCTGCAACTCTACACCATTGAGATCTGTCCAAAAACATATATAGAGATGAGTTATTGAGTTTTGTGGTCTCTTGTGATAAATAAACTCTTTATCATTGCATTAGCATCGACATGGCTTTCTTCTCTGACGTAGTAAACCTACCCCTCCTAAACTCTCTGCTGTGGATTCCCCCCCCCCCGGACTCATAGTTGGAGGTGGAGAGTCCCCCAACTAGACCAATCCTCTCTTGTCTAGCATTGACATGATTTTTTAAACACATAATGAAGGGGCACATCAGATCCATCAGACTACTATTAATACAAGACACTGATAAACCTTGGGAAGCTTATTATTATGTTGGTTGAAAGGTTTCGAAGAAAAATATCAAATTCATACTGACGGTAGATGATGAAAAAGGTACACAAATCCTACACTGTTCTTAAAATTCATCTACCTGTAAGATTTGGTACAATGAAGATGCCTCTGTGACATTAACTGAACGTGTATCTAGATTTATACAATAGTAATTAATCTACTACGTTTTCAAAAACAATATATATACAATAATGATGAATCTCCTAGGTTAATCAATGGTTTAAGGTATTACATGAAAGGTTTTGGATATCAAGATCCTCAGTATGATTAATATCATGTGTTTGTGTTTGATCACTTCTGAATATACAATGAACTGCATTCACCGCTCACCAGTATATACTATATAGAATTGCTACTTTAGAAACTTCTCATGCTCACCTCTTCTTTTCCTTTCTCTGCATAGATAGCCTTTCCACCAAAGTATACTCAATACGAAAAATGTGATACATGCAGCCAAAACTCCAACAATAACATAAATTATTACGGTCTTTCTGTCCTTGTTTGAACAGAATTTGAAATCTGTACAAAAAGAAAATGAAAAAGAAAGAGAAGGAAAAAGTAAAAGTCTTAGAAAATCCCTGTAAGTCCACCCAAAGATAGAAAAGGTAAGTTGATACATACTCGAGTCGACCGAGATGGCTGATATGAGTGCACCATAATGTCCCCTAAGAGGAATGCGGGTAGTGCCCTTGCCACCCCAGTAAAGTCGGATCTCTAAGACACTATCTGTTACAGTGGCATTAAAACGTCTGATCACAGGCCTTTTAACTCCACGAGCTTCCTCTTCAATATTAAAGTCTTTCCAAACTAATTTCTCCTAAAATCAAAAAGGATCATTCGAGAATGTAAACCAGCTGATAACTCTAAAGAAAACTTCATCATTCAGGAAAAGCACCTGGATATAAATATCGAAGACACGCCTTCCAAGATTGTAATATGTACGGTCATCTTTGAACATTATCTCGGCGAAGTGCAGACTAACACTGTAATTCCCATTCTCCAAGCAATAACGGAAATAAGTAAGTGAAAGTGGAGAAGCCCGTGCTCCACTGTACAATTCAGACAGTGATTGTGTAGATTCAATGAAACGTGTATTCTGATCATTAGCATCATCCATGAAGTCTCCAGTGCTACTAAATCCCCAGTACTTATTACTGCGGAAATATCTAGCAGAACCACCTTCAACCTGAGCATCTCCTTCATAATCAAGTTGTCTATTGTTTTCTTTAACAGTAAAATCATTTCCTCCACAGTTAACATGCAGGGAACACCCATCTGCCATGTGACCAAATGTACTTGCATGGTCAGAAAGATATATCTAGCAAACAATGGTCTCTTATTATAATAGGCAGCAAAGAATACCAAAATATTGATGGATAGATGCGTATGAAGGTCATATTTTCAGAAACTAATTAAAAAGTGTTCAGTAGATACATGATCTCAGGATTGTAGGTCCTAATGAGAAATATTTGCAACTATCAGCGCATTCTTTGGTAACTCGCAGGCAATCTCTGTCAGTTATTTTTTATGTCTGTCTGTCTCTCTCTCTCTGTGTATGTCTGAGTATATATAAAAGTGAATTTAGTGGATGCATGTAAAATTACAGAAAATTTAGTTTTAAACAAGTGTACATCATCTCAGAGAATCCTCTCCCTCTGTGACCTGTTCCTTCTCCTCCAATTCAGACAGCAACCTAGTCCAGATGTCTACCTCCTGCTAATCTTGGAAGTTCTCCTAAATTTAATGTCCCATACACCAGTTCTCCTATTTTGAGCATTAGAGGTTTCCCGGAAATTGCAAAAGTAAACAAATTTAGCTCTTGCTCTATGAGTGATATATTTCCTTGCAAATTATCCAACAGAATCTTACAATCTTTCCATCTACCACCTTAAACTGTGTGTATATCATGAATTCATCCCACAATCCTCTTATATATAGTAAACCAACTGTCCCCATATTTCGCATCTATTACTGTTTTCCACAGCATGTCGTTCTTTAGATATATCCAAAATCTTCAGGTTTCTAACTCCTGACCCCCCACCCCACCCTTTCTTTGGAAATAACTGGTTTTATACTTATGGAGGGAAGGAAGATGAGAAAGAAAAACGTATTGCAGTTTCAGGATATGTAAAGAACTTTTTCATGTGTTACTTGAAATAAGAGAGAGAGAGAGAGAGAGAGAATAAATGGTCAATGAGGTACACGAATATACTTACATCTTGGACAAGTCAAATCCTCTGTACAAGGAAGAACATTCCTTCTGTAGCAGATAGCACGAGAGAGATTGACCTTAGATACATAATAAAAAGGAAAGACTAACTCCTAAAGCAAAGCATCTGTTTCTCTATTTTGTTACCTATAAAATGTAAATTGGAAAATTAAGAAGAATGAGAAGGTACATCTTACAAAATGCTAACTGCTGAAGAACTCTTGTACAGGTTGATGTAATAATTCCTGTAGGAGGAATTACTATCAGAACCATATGATACATTGTCACTGAAAACATGAAAGAGATACAGACAAAAAGGATTCACTGACGTGTTCTGCCGACACGCTGGTTGGTCAGGGCCTTGCCAAGTAAAGTTATTGTAGGAAAGATCACTGTACATGCAATTAATTTCTTAGATTGATCATAATCCAAAAGCACTATAATGACAGAATGCGATAAACAAGCATTTAAATGGTGCAAATGACAAAGCAAATGTGGAACTAAGAAAAATACCAAATTAAAATCAATGATTTAGTTGAAATCTTAACACACCTCATACTCAAGCCCGTATGAGAGCAAATATTTGACAAAAGAGAATCAAGAAAGATATTACACGTACACATTTATTCCATTCTTCAAGATTGAGTCAGGTACATTTCCACTGAGCATGTTACCAGATAAAAACCTATTACAGAAGAGTCACATAGTAAGTAACCGCTAATGTGAGAAATGGTGAATAAAACTTTTCATGCGTGTTAGAAAAATAATAATGATGTCATCTTAATAGTACTTCGAAAACAAAAGCCAAATTGAATTATACTCACACAAATTTAAGCATAGTTCTTGCACTTATGTCATCTGGAATCGTTCCGACCAGCTTGTTGAAACTAACATCACTGTGGTAAATTCAAATAAAGATAAGAAGCTTTTCTCTTCGTCTAGAATAATCTCATGAATGTGTAAAGGAGGAGAGCCATTTATAAATTATAAAACCTTACTAGTATTGCAGTAATGTCATAGTACCTTAGTAAAAATTAAATCAGAGGAGGGTGTATTACTATAAAGATAGAAGGCAAAGGATAGGAAACAAGTACAATTAATTATGAACTGTTGGATATGATGAACAGTTTATTAAAGTTTTCAACAAGATCTTCCCATCCATAGAAGCTTATCCGCCAAGCTTCACAAAGTTTATGGCTTCTGGGCAGAGGCGGAGCCAGGATTTGAACCTTATGGGTTCAGAATTGTAATCCTTTTAAGTTACTGGGTTCTAAATTAGTAAGTTGTACATACTCAACGGATTTTTTAAGACAAATACATGGCTTTAACAAAAGCTATTGGGTTCGGCCGAACCCGCATTTCGCACTCTGCCTCCGCCCCTGCTTCTGGGTAACATCTATGATGATTTTTATATGCCTGATCCAACTTCTATCTAATCAAAACCAAAATTATCAAACTCTAAATAAGTCTCACCAATTAGGAAGTTGGGCCTTTGTACTCCAGCACCAGCATCTATGGCTTTTAGAATTAGACATATGTACTAGCAGACTAAATCATTTTTTTGTATAGCAAATCAGACTAGCAAAACCTGCATCCATGATGAACGTCATAGTTCATACCAAGAAAAGAAATGTCTTGAGTAGAAAGTGTCACTGCTTAGGTTTAACCACAAGTGGATGATGAAATTTCTAATTGAGAAGAACATTGGACATGAATGAAGGCGTTAATAGAAAATTGTATACCCAGAATGGAAGAAATTAAAGGATTTGGAGAACTTTTGAATCTCATGGGTTCAGATGAGATATGGTAAGTATATTGATAAGTGAATAGAGAACAGGTGATTAGAAGATGATGGACCAAATATTTTGGAGAATCTTCAGTTAAGATGAAAGTGGAAGTAATAAGCAAGAGCTGAAATGAAAGTTGAGAAGCAGCGTTAGAGGGTGTTTGGCTAAGCTTATAAGCTGGTCAAACTAGCTTATAAGCACTTTTTGGCTTATCTACGCGTTTGGTAGAGTTAAAAGTGCTTATAAGCCAAGTGTTTATAAACCAAAAATAAGTCAAAAGCCATAAGCTGGTCACCCCTAGCTTATGAATTTTTAGCTTATAAGCATTTTAAGTTTGACCAAAATTTTTACTGTTTTATCCTTANTTTGCATATTTATATCTATGTGATTGTATATTAATCTTTGAACTGTATGTAAAAAATGAGGACATATCAAATTTTTGGTGTATTATTTTCTTAGTGTTGTGGCGATGAAGACACTATTTGTTTCTCTTCAAATACTTTGTCCTATTTTTATTTTTTACTGAGAAACTTTTATCAATTTATTAATTATTATAACTTATGATTATATGCATATCATAAAATAAATTATATTTATCATAAAAATTATCTTATCTAAGCACAATTGTATTTAAAATAAAATGACAAATAGAATATTTTGTATTTGAATCGATCTGGAATCTAAAATTCTAAAGAAATTACGCCCTTATAAGTGTAAACAGTTCTAAGGTTATTTAAGTCATTTTAATAAAAAAAGAGCTTATCAGCACCTTTTTATCAAATACTGCAGCAACTTATCATCAATTTCAGCACTTGTACCCAAACATGTAACTACTTATTTATTAAATCAGTTTCAGCACTTAAAAGTGTTTTTCAGCACTTAATGCTTATCAGCTACTTCAAATCAGCTAATCCAAACGGGCTCTTAGTCATTTAGAAATGGAGAAAAAGACAGTGGAAAGCAACTAGAGGAAATGACATTGTATTGAGGGGTTCATTGTAACAACCCTAGACATTAGACAGAGTCCCACATCGCCAAAACACAAGAGGGATGCTGGGTATATAAGTTAACAAACCAAAGACCCTAGTGACGCGTTTTAAACCCGTGAGGGCCTAGGCCCAAAGCGGACCGGGCCCACTCTTGTGTCAGCCTTGCCGATGGTGGATCAGAGTTCAACTGAGTTTAGGCAAATCCTAGTTAGGCTGGTGAATCAAACTTCAACTGAGTTTAGGCAAATCCCGGTTAGGCGGGGCAAACACAAGAGGGATGCTGAGTATATAAGTTAACAAGCCTTAGACCCTAGAGACGCATTTTAAACACGTGAAGGCCTAGGCCCAAAGTGGACAATATCACTAGCGAACTGGGCTATTACATTCTTCCTATTAGCTTATGTTTTGGGTTTATCTACACTTGTTGTGTATGGCCAACACCCTCGTTTGGGTTCTTTCTACTTACCATATTGGAGGAAGGAAGGAAGTGGTTGCTTGTAAGCTAAATACTTATGCAACTCTTAGTCTTTTTCACCAAGTGGAAGGACCAACTATAAGTGCACTAACCCCGAGCCTATCAAAATTGACCGTCAGTATTTTTCAAGGCTATTGCACTTGGACATAGTGGTGGTAAAATAGTTAAAAGAAAACAGTTAACCACCCATATTATCCACTAAAAATGGGTTGGATAATGAACTTTTTTAAAAACGGGTCAAATATGGATAAGAATCATATTATCCATTTAGAAAATGGATAATCAATGGGTAACTAATGGATAACCAGTGGGTCTAACTTTTACATTTATAAAGCCTCAAATTGGGGGTTACTCAAGTTAGGGAGATTAGGAATTCTCCCAAAAGTGATCATATGCAAGAATTCATCTCATATTATCCGTCGGTTAACCCGTTTTTTTATCCGTATTAAAATGGATCGGATCGGATAATTTATCCGTTTTTTCATTATCCATTTTCGAGCCGAACCATATCCGACCTGACCCGCCCGTTTACCATTCCTACTTGGACACAAGGTTTAACATCAGATATGTAATGATAATGAATGTAACACAGAATATTGATTTTGCAAAATTGCATGTGAAACTACTTACAATGTTTGTATAGTTTTCAATTGCCAAATATATCCAGGAATTACTCCAGAAAGGTTGCAGTTTCTCAATACCCTGAGTACAATGATAGTACAGCATTCAGAAGAGATCCATCAAAATTTAGATGCCAATGTTAATTGGCATTAACTACAAAGTAACTTACAGTATCACTAGGCCTGTCATGTTGTTTAGAGGAGGAAATTCCTGCATTGGTCCATTTATGTCGCTAATCCTCCTGAATAAGAGACTCAACATTAGAAGTCTTCACACTGTAACGAGATCCATAAACTAAAATAAAGAAGCAGATAAGTGATCTCAATATTTCAGAGTTCCGTACTCACAGATCAGTTAACATATTGAGGAGAGATATGCCTGATGGAATGGGACCCTCTAGACCGGAGGCATGCAGCTCTCTTCATTGATTATCCAAAATAAGTAATAAATACTTGAAATTACAAAATCATTGTGCTAGCAAAGATATCTCTAGATCCTCTGGAATCAGAAGAAAGAAGAGAGATTCTTACAATTTTGCAAGTTGTTTCCAATTCTGTATAAAATCTGGAATTGGCCCGCTGACATTGTTATCACTTATCCTACTGCATTATGAAACAAAATAGTGTCAGAAATAGTTTTTAGATGCTAGCTAAATGGATAATGGAAGAACCATGTGCTTACAAATCTGTTAAATTTACAAGTCCAGACAGCGATGTTGGCAGCTCTCCCTCCAGTTGGTTGGAGGACAATATCCTGAAATTGTGATCATCTTTCTCCATTGTATATTCAGGAATTTAAATCACAACTCATGTGGACAGACCCAAAAGAGAAAACGAAAGGAATGGTCTTACAGTGTCTTTAAGTTGATCAATTTCCCTAGTTCAGAAGGAATAATGCCTGAGAATTGGTTCCCTTCGAGGTTTCTGGTGAAAGATTGCCATATAGATTAGTGCACTGCTGAACTTTTGGAAAACAATTGGAAAAATATAAATAAATAAAAATGAGATGATTCTTATAGTAATGAAGAAGAGCATGTCCAACATTGCATCAAAGGAAAAAAGAAAAAAAAGTAAACTGTAGCATAAAAGATTGTAAGCTTGCACTATCTTATAAGAAAGATAATTTTATTAATTTAAAGAGTTTGTCCCAAATCTGTCGAAACAATTACATGAGCAATGAAGATAAGAAATCAGATCAGATAATCAAAATTTGATACATACATATAGGTAAGGCTGGTAATGTTTCCTAGTTCCTTTGGTATTTCCCCTGACAACCGGTTCACAAGAACAGAGCTGGATCAAAAATTTGCAGTTATAATTGACGATTGACAACATTCGTAACAGCTGAAAAAATAAGATAATAGATGAGGCTTACATAAAACTTAACGGGGTTGACGCCCATTCAGCTGGTATACTACCACTGAGGTAATTGTATGCAAAATCACTGAAGTTCGAGAAAATCTGAACTCAGTTAATGGTGTTCATCAACATTTGGGCATTGAAAGATTCTACTAGGAAAAGAAAAGGAAATGTGACAATGGAAGTCAAAAGGTGCTTACACTTGTTGAATGTAAGGAAGCTTTACCAGTTCAGGTGGAAGAACTCCAGGAAGACTAATGCCCTTAAGAGTACTGCATAAGTAATTTCAAGAGTCAAGAATGTAATTAAATTATGTAAAATAGTTTGAATAAGATATATTTATATAGATAAAATGAAACCAAGTACAGTCACAACAGAAAGCATTGATAGGAACCGCTCTATGATGGTGATGTAAATCACTACTTTTTACTCAAAAGTGATAAGGTCAATGATGTCAAGTTGCAATTCATACATCTCAGGAAGCCTAAGATTTCATCAAACAATACAGTCTCAATCCGCAAAGATAAAAGACGTCTTTGGCAAAGGCACAGCTTATATATGGCAAAATGAAACTCCCTCCATTGTTTTTGTTTGATCAGTATTTTCCTCCTATAATCTTGTTTCTTTTAATTGTCCGAGAATAGAAATACAAGGTTGTTGTGAAGATGTAGGAAATGGATACAACTTAATTAAACATGGTTATGGGTTCTCTAGCAGTAAAGGCAAGACATCAGTAACTAAGAACTTAGTAGCTGCATTCTCCAAATCATCTATGCTGCTCTTCAAACAACACGAAATACTAAAAAACTAAAGTCGAGCAAGATGACGAGAAATTACATAGCTACTACATGGCAGAGAGTATCATTTCCTATACTGCAGTTGCATTTAACATCAGTTTCGGACCAATTTGGTCGATCAGTTGTCACCATGACTGCTTCAATCTGGCACAATTCACCATTGAACTTCCAGTGTGTCGCTCCCATTGTAACAGCAATTTGTTCCAGAATGTCCACTGAGACAAATTGCCAAAGAATATGTCAAACAACAGATTGTTGGCGAATGATGCAAACCTTAGTAGCAAAACAATTCAAAGTGGAGATAACTGCAAGTCTAATGCAAGGGCATGAAGCAGAATTCCTACATTTGCACAGTGACAGCTTAAACCCCTAAATATGACCAAACAAAAATCATTTTCGAACGCTGCAAACCCCACTCTCCCACCAACAATTTGGAATTGGTGAGCAATTCGCTAGAAAACCCTCTGATATCATTTTTAGTATATTCTCATAATTTAATTGACCCCATAAGCTTCAACATTTTGAGTTAGGCTACAGAGGTGCAGCAAGTTCCCCTAGCAAATGTGGAGAATCCATAAGAAATTCTGCATCATATGAAAACCCAAATTCACCAAATTGTATTAATTCCTTATAATAATACTAAATTTTCAGTGTTTTCTTTTTTGAAGTCCAAAACTTCAAGCCCTAAGTAAGATTCTATCTCAAGGAAGCTTTTTTAAGTATTGCAGTGCAATTGAATTATGACGGCCCATTAAATCCTTACTGCAACAAGATACTATCATTGCATAGCATGATCACAAAGAGAGAGTCATTTAAAGACTAGTATCACTCCAGAGCAAAACTAACAGTGATACTGCTTAAACCTAGTAAAAAAAATGAAGTACATGCCAACCAAAAAAACTCAATTTTTTCTTTTACCATGTCCATATTAACTGGTCCTAGCCTTGTACTCTTTACTTTCCTCTTTTAGAGACTCATAATTGATCTTTTCTCAAGAAACTTTGCTGAATAGGTGGAGAAAAAGTAATAAGCTCAGAATTCTTGATTTCTTGCACAAATTTGACTTTGTGGACTGTCGTAAAATCCCACCCCAACTCAACAACTAAAAAAAAAAAAAAAAAAAAAAAAAAAAAAAAAAANTTTGCTGAATAGGTGGAGAAAAAGTAATAAGCTCAGAATTCTTGATTTACTTGCACAAATTTGACTTTGTGGACTGTCGTAAAATCCCACCCCAACTCAACAACTATAAAAAATAAAAATAAAAAGAGACAGAATTTACCTTCTTCTTGGGCAACTCTGGACTCACCCAAATTTAACAACAAGAAGTAGTTCACTACAAGAATCCATGAAAGAACATCTCTTTTTGCAGTCAACATTTTTTCTTCAAGCTCCAAACATGTACATTCACTGTTGGACGTACAACATAGCTAGGTATGTAATACTAATGTTTCCTAGATTTTGACAAAAAAAGTACCGCTAGAATTTTGCCAAAGAGAAGATTGAGCCAGAAAACTGGCTTTTTTTTAGTTTTTAGTCTTTGAATTCAGAGGTTCTAAACAGTGTACCATAAGTGTGTAAATTGAGCTAAGCTAGCTGGTTACCAACATCCTAGATGACTTAGCCATAACAGTTGTCTGGTCTGATTCAGAGAAATTTCTTTTCTTTTTTCAATTGTTTAAGAGAAATGTCTTCTTTAGAGAACAGTCAGAGGCACGTGCCATTTCTCAAATCTTTGATGTTAGCGCTGGCGCTAGCCACTTGTTACCACTGGTCTCATCCTAATTTATGAGATACTATTTGACGAGACTGAAAATTTTGAATAAAAGGTAATATACACGGAAAGGGATACATTAAAACTCCAATTTTTATTAGTCAAATAAATTTAATTCCTAATATGTTTATATTTATGTAAAAGTATACTCATTAATTTCTGAAATTGTACAACAATGTATCCGGTGTATTCTTACACAATATGGAGTCTAAGAAGAAAAATATGTACATTAATTTTATCCAAGTTAAAAAAATTATTTCCAATAAAATCTCGACTAATATGTAAAATTATGTCAAATAAATTGTAACATACAAAAAAACAATGTCGTTTGTACTGATACAGATAAAGCACACCACGGGAGAGAAAAAAAACTGTATCTTAATATTAATCGCGGGATCATCACCTACCAAATTGGATTTACTCCGTACTAGCTTACAGTGGTCTACTGATCTTGTGGTTGATTTGATTATTATGTCTAATCTCTAGCATTTGACATTTGTTCATTACCCCTTTTAGATGAATGTATATATATTATCTATATTATATTAAAAGGAGGATAGTATACATTATAGTTAAGTCGAGTGGCAAGCTAAAAAAAAGCAACTTGCCAATTTAAAGACAACATTAATAATTAGAAATTATAAATGGAAACATAATTAATGGAAGTAGTTGAATTAATCTTATACACAATCTAAATAGATCTTTGACAAATCTAATCTATATAGCTATATTTATATTTATATGTATATTAGTATCTACATTTATATTTATATTTTATATCTATATATTGATCCACTCATAGATTTTCTTATATATTAACTAGAAATATGGAGGTGAAAAATTAATTAAAAAGCTATAATAGTAACAAAATAAAAAATATAAAAAGACGTAAATGAAAATAACATATGACTATTTATACTTTGGAGTGAGTTAAAATATAAAATAAAGCGGTGTCCTAAGAATAAGACACATAGCAAAGTAAGACAAAATAAATAAGAATTTAGGAAAGACTTAGGATAAAGTTAAAAGGATAAGAAGAAAATATAATGTATTAATTTTGTATCACATTCGAAAATTTGGAAAATCAATCTTCATTTTTAATTGGACTAATAAATGCCTAAAGTTATGGGATATTGTAAATTCTATTTAAAACTACTTTGCCGCTTAAATTTTAGGAATTTAAAAGGGTTATTTGCAAGAACTATATATTCGAAAGGGTAACATCGAAAGACTTTTTTTTTTTGAAGCCTACGTGCTTTTTCCTAATTTGACATTGAATTTTTGCAATATTGTTAACTTCTCGAAAAATCGAAATATTTATAAACCAAATTCCAAGAGAATATGTGTGTGCGTATTTTATATATATATATAAATGAATAAAATTTGCATTGTGACTAAGCCAAGTGACAAATTATTATAAGCCACTTGGCAATTTAGGATAATATTAATACTAATACTTAATTAAATTAAATATATTTTTACAAACCTGAATGAAAAGAAAGTGAATATTTTTGTAAAGATATTGTCTGTCGTATCTTAATTAATAAGATTTTAAAAAAAATTGTATTGAAATATAAAAAAACGCCTCTATCTTAATTAATTATAAAGATAAAAATATAGGTATTATAAAAAATAAGATAAATTTAAATATTAATATTATAAATAGAATTAAAAAAATTAAAAGAAAAAGATAATATATATATATATATATATATATATATATATATAATTTCAATGTAGAAATATTTGGAAGGATAAGCCTTATTTGATTTTTGAGAAAAGAAAGTATTTTAAATAATAACGAATAAAATTTGCATTGTGGTTAAGCCAAGTGACAAACTACTATAAAACCACTTGGCAATTTAGGATAATATTAATACTAATACTTAATATAAATTTAATTTTTTTTAATATGGTGAATATTTTTATAAAGATATTGCCTGCCCTATCTTAATTAATAAAATTTAAAAAATAAATAAATTGACAGATAGAAACAACGCCTCAATCTTAATTAATTATAAAGATAAGAATATAGGAACTATAAAAAATATGATAACTTTAAACATTAATATGAACAATAGAATAAAAGAATAAAAGTAAATAAAAAATTACTACAAGAAAAAAAAAATATTTATAATGTACTATAATGGAAGTAACGGTCAAGAATATGATAATTTTAAATTATGGGTAATGCAATACAGACAAAAAATTATGGGTAATTTTAAGAGATTTGAGAAATTTTTGCGTTTATTTAATGATTATATATAACTTTTATCTGAAAGATTAATATTTTAAAGTTATTTGCACATAAATCAAATAACTCAAATTACAGGTTTGTGTCTGCAAATCGCACGAGTACTAATACTAATTTGTTTATTTAGATAACCTACCAAAAAAATCCGGCAAGCCCATCAACTTTGACGTAAGAGAAATAAAAGAAAGTTTAAAAATTATTGATGTCAAGGAAAAGTATTATCACCCCCTTTAATTTAATTTGAATAGTAACATCGTCAAGTTTAACGGAAACGGAAGAATAGAATGTTCTGTGGAAAATATATGAGAATATATAAATCTAGAGTACAATTTTCCTTTGAAAAACTAAGCTCCCGTTTAGCCATAAATTTTGACAACTTTTTCTCAAAAAAAAATTATTTGTTAATGAAATACAATTATTTTTTGAAAAAAAATTCGAGTTCCTAAAAACTAATTTCGGGCAGCATTTTGGTGGAAAGTTTTCTTCCGCTAGCAAAACTTCAATTTATTTTTCAAATAAAATATATTTTCAAACACAACTTCAACTTTCCAAAATTATTTTTCAAACAACTTCAAAAGCTCTTTTGTAAGTTTCAATCAAATCTATGTCTAAACGGCAGCTAAAACAGAAACTAAAGAAAGATACTAAGCTTACATGAGTGTTAATTATATCTCTTGTTTTATGAATATTGAATCCTTTCTATTTTTAAAAATATATATATGAAATTGTAAGAATGATACGAAGTTCTTCCTGTATAAGGTAAAATTGATTTATATTAAATGATCAAATGATAGCATGACACGTGGAACGACAGATAGGTGGAAGACAAGTCAAGCAATAATTAACGCCGGGGACAACAGTTGCAGATGGTATCGGATAGACCCCGAAGGGACCATAATCAACGGAAGCAGGTCAAATGTTTGTCGCCAGACGACATTTAATGGAGAATATTCCCTAGTATTAAATGGGCAGCCGCTGCAGAAAATTATGGTATTCATGGTCTGTCGTTACACATTCATCAATGGTCCCCTTTATTGTCATTTAATAGGGGTTTGATCCTAGGATCTTGTTTACTAGGTATAGCTATAATTAGTGGCTTCAACAACCATTGTAGACACGCGAAATATCTGGAAAAACTTATGTTATACTTTATTCTCAAGCTAAATAATACAACTTTATCTTCTATCTAATACTGTTCTTATTGATGTCCTCATAAGCATTGCTCTCGGATCCAGGCTTGCCATTTTCTTTTATTTTACCGCTAAGTCTTACTGTAAATTTAATTTATTTATCATTTATGATCAAATCAGCTCGTTTGTCTATAAACCACGCAACAAATTCAACTGTATCATTTTATGAGTAAACACTTCCTAAAAATATAAAAACATGGATGATTATTTGAAACTGTGTGTGGCAGGATGTAATTGTGTCGGTATGTTATTATCACTTTCAAATTTTATTTTCCCAATAAGCCAAATCTTGTTCGATAATTTTAATAATAGGGTGTGGAGGTCGAGGATAAGGGTAGAAGGTTAGTAAGTAACTGGAAGTTTCTTATTTGCTTACCAATAGTTTTAGTAGCACGCATGTCCCTTCATATTTTTAGATCTCCATTGTGTTATGAGGTTTTGTTCATCCCACGTATTGTATTCCATGTTGTTATTATTTGGTACAACTTATTCTTTATCTCCCTTTGTATCTTCTCTCTTTTCTTGTTTTTCCCGTTCTTCTCCTTTTTCTCCTTCTTTTTCTTCTCCTTCTCACCCTTATCAAGCCAAGGGTCTATTGGAAACAGACTCTCTATTTTTATTATGTAGCTAGGGGTAAGGTCTGCGTACAGATTACCCTCACCAAACTCCCGCCTGGTAAAAATATACTGGATCTATTATTATTGTTGTTGTTGCTGTTATAATTGCATTGAATCTTTCTTCCCAAACCCTTTTTCACCATAGTTGTTTAGATATGAAAACAAATTTTTCAAAAGATGAAAACAAAATGCACCACCAATAATAATAATAATAACAAATTCAGTGTAATATTATCCCACACAAATAGGGTCAATAGATGGTAGTATGTATGCAGACCTTATCCCTACGTTGAAAGGTAATGAGACTATTTGTGATAGATCCTCGACTAAAAAAAACGTAAAAGAAGAAGCATTAGCTAAAAACAAAAGGCACCATGAGTTTTAATTCAAAATTGAAAATCTAGCTAGTACAGATAGGGTGTACATAGATCGAGTTGGTTTGAAATTTTCAACTATCAAACCAAATCAATGGTGTCGAGTTTTTTAAATTTATAATCCAAACCAATAAAGTCAAGTTTTTCAATCTCAATTTTTCTTGGGTATTTTAGTTTTTTCTTTTTAGTTTTTGGGTTTTTTCTCGGTAAAGTCTTAATAGCATAAAATATGTAACTTGTGCTCCAAATATTTATTTTAGTCATAGTAGGATACAACTATATAATATATTTTTCAAGAAAATAAAATAATAATATGAGATGAGCCATAGCATTGTACTAAAATATTCAATAACAAAGATAATAAAATCGCACAAAGAAAATATACAAATTAATACACCATAATAAAAATTAACATAATCTAAAAATACTATATAGGTCATGCTAAAATAAGCACGAC